TTTATACGTCATATTAGTTTGGTAGTAAAAATAGTTTTGTTGTGGTATCCATGCTAACATGTATACAACAAACCCGAGCCTTGTTGCCATGATGTGCAAAGTTACTACTTTAGCCAACAAGTTGATCGCAACGGAAGCATTTATACAACTGTAGTTTAGTAATTGTTGAAGGCTATACACCTGCAACTAATTCACAACCTTTATAGGACAAAATTGATCTGCTCGGGTTAGATGTAACCTAAGTTTCTCCTGTCATATTTTTAGGTTAAATGCCATAACCACTACTTTTCTTCTTCAAGACAAGCAACGCATGAATATTCATTGTAAGAATTTTATCAACTTTTTAACCAGATAATGTAGACGTTGTGCAAGCTTTCTGCATATATTTCATTTCAAACATTTTTCTTAATTTGCTGTTAACACCTGCGGATAATACCAAAATGTTCTTATAAACCAAAGACAATATGGAGGATGCCATGATTAGACATAACCACTCGCCATATTGGGTGAAAAATATGTTTCACTCCGATGTTACAGACAGAAAACGGTAAACATTAGTGTGGTTGTGTCTAAATATAGGATTTGTGGAAGATTTAAAGCAGATGAATTCAGATTTTCATCTTAAAAATCTAGAAATATTTTAGATCAATATTAAAATAAAAACCAAATACGAAGCCAGGTGAAGTTACGTCACTGCTTTATACGACAATCACAGTAAAATTTGCTGCCTAAGTCATTCAATAGTTCTATATCACAGTGTAGAAGCTTATCATATAGCTACTTGTGTATGAAATTTACAATGGCTGATATGTCAGTAAACAAGATGAATGCAATGTGTTAGTTTGGAAATATTCCTGACTTTGCCTTCACAATACATAAAAAATAGCTTAGTTAATAAAGTAGAATCGTTGTAACAGAATAGTTGTATAGTTGCCAATAGTTGAATCTTGCAGAGTGTTACAATTTTGTTGTATAACTGTTACCTCACCCCTTATACAACATCTTAAGTGACAGAAGTTCCTATTAGGTGCGTCTGCTTATCTGTTCTTAGATCCTGCAACCTACAAAGCCTAACAGGAGTGACAATTGTTAGTTGGGTACGACAGTTGTAGATATATATACGATGACAAAGAGGCCCCAGAAATGCCAACAAAAAAATAAATATAAAACTCTTGTATAAGTACGATACACCAGTGCCTTTCTCACCAATATCTTAAAGGGCGTCTAGGTGTGCAACAAAGCATCGTAACATACATCTCACGTGTCACGCTTGTTGGTGGTTATGTTACAATAGCATACGACATGAGTAAATATCCTGACTAATGGCACTATGTCCATAACTTAACTTTCTTAAGGTAAGTTGCTAACTACGCAAGCCGATCTGTAACGCAGCTGCTATTCGCCCTTGTACGCACACATGAATTGGATGATAGAGGACTGTTGTTTGCACACACTTTCTGAAAATATCTCTAAATACATACTGTCGATGTTGTAGCTCTAACTTCAGACACTACTGTGTTTTATATTGAAGATCAACAAGGGTAAAGACAAATCTCACGTGACAAGTGACAAGTATAAATGTAGAAGACTCATACGTTGATGAGAACATGTTCAAGACGTCGAGAGAAAACTAAGAAACATATATGTCTTAGAATTCTCACAAACGCCCGGGCATAAAAGCCCATTGCTTATGTATGTGTGAGGGAGATGAGTGTATGAAAGTAATTCCTGAAGTTCCAATGTGATCCGCCAAACAGCTTGAAAAGTCCCATATTTGGTGTGATGTTATACTGAAATACATGTTACCATGTAATGTTTGCACGTGCAGACCAGCCTTAATAAAATTCCCCACAATACAAGTTTTTATGTTTTTTTTTTGTTCACAAACTGTTTTAAGTACTACGTGTGTTTCGATCATGTGGAACGGGGATGACAGACGCTTATTTTTGCATACACTTATTTGAACACTGTTCCATTTGACGTAGCCAGAGTGATGCAGTCTCGCAAATGGGTTGAGTGCAGTACCTGATTTCTTTCATTCTATCGACTGTTCAGATGGACAGGTAATTTCGTTCAAGAATGGCGTAACAAGTAGATCCCAGACAGAGTGGTAGATTCCAAAGGGAATCCTTCAACTTTTAAAATGTGCATCTTAGTTCAAATAGTCTTAGGTCTGTTCTGGCCCTATACATGACATGAATTTCAATTGTACCTTAAACACATGTTTTTTTAAACACGAGTTTGTGTTTATGCACATGCGTCTTGCATATCACTATACTGCGTTTTGATTAAGGAAAACGTCAAGTGTCTTATATTTAGGCTATCAACATAGAGAATAGTATTTAATATACACAAAAGTGTTTCAGATCATGGAGATAAGGCACTGGAGGCGGATTTCGAAACAGCAGTTCAGCATGCAGGTGAGTTATGCAGTAGTTAGTATTTAGGGATGTACTCACTTCAATAATATGATGCATTCAGTATCGTAAGCTATCTATGCAGCTATAGTCATCATGTATTTTCTATGGATGGGAAATTTTAGAATTGGAGAGTTGATAATGAGTAATCTTCTGGATAGCAGCCAGACAGTGAGAGAAAAAGAACCTATATCTTTTGCTTTGGTCATGCAGACAAAATATTTATTTTCTACCTTGTATACATAGCTACATGCAATAGGGGATGAAGATCTCTACAGTTTAAGTTCACAATAAATCTGTTACTTCCCATTCTTGTCTGTTGACTAAATTGTAGCAGAGTTTGAGAAGACTAGCACCAAGTAATGTATCTGACAGTCAGTTTCAACCCTGAGTTTCTGACCACCAAGGACTATCAAATACAGTTACCTGAACAAATTAATGATATGATGTTACCTAGCTATGTACCTACTGAACTGATCTGGTGTTGTAGCTGACCGTTCGAGACTGAGAAATTCAATGTTACAAATTAATCTCATATGCATGAAAATCTACGCTAGGGAAGTGTAGATGGTTTCAATTTTTAAAACATTTTTCATTTTTGAAGCTTATTTACCTGCTTGACGCCATCTATTGTCAAATGTGATTAAAGGATACATTTAGGCTACTGTTATGATTTATGTCACAATTTACTAATACTACTTAACTGAAACTACGGTTCACAGGATGAGGGCAATAGAAGAAAGTTTCAGATATTATCTAATATAAACAATAATTTGGGTACTTTTCCAAATCTCAAGTTGTTAGATAAATCACGTTTAATACATAGAAGATCAGTCATCATTCTAAAACATGCATCTGTAAATAATGGAAAATAACTGTTCGCACATCATCAATTCATCATATTACAAATTATTATTTTTTTAAGGAAGGCGCGCGTAGACCAGATAAGATTTTCTAATAAATCACACGAGTATACACATCTCCATAAATGTACCAGTTAACTGATACCTACTACTAATTATCATTGACAATATATACACTGAGAACCAAATTTGACTGACGGCCGGCTTCAGTTCACTGTGTATGAGAGCGAAGTGTACATAGACACATATGTTAGAAATATACAGGATGTTAGGGAAGTAATATTCGTAACTTTAAGAGGTGATTCCTTGTATTATTCTAAGCGAAAAAATTCATTATAACTTATGTCCGAAAATCAATCGTTTTTGGGGAATGTGAATCGTAAATAATTAAATTTTCTCAAACATTTGGCAACGCTGAAAAGCAACCGCGATACGAGCGCACGACGACTTTAACTGATTCATCGAATTGTTTACGTTTGTATGATATTTTTGTTGAAAATATGCCTTGAATTATTGAATACTTTTACGCAATTTTTGTTGCCAATATTTTGTATTTAATAACGCTTTCAGTACCTTACATTCATTTAAAAAAAATACAGAACTTACCGGTACGTGGCGATAAACGCCACCAATTCCCACGATTATCAGTCACTTATTTGAAACGATGCGATATGCACGAAAAAAGAAAAAAAAACATCCGTAAATCACATAAAGTTACAGTTAAATGTATAAGTAATCACAACAACAGGCGATGATACAAGCAGTGCAGGCGGAGTACAACTTTGTCAGTTGTGTGAGGGATTTTGTTTGTCTGGTTTTCTTCGGAAAATTGTATTTAATAAACAAGAAAATTATTTTGTTAGAGACAGTTAATTAATAAATGTATTGATACATTTTACGCTATTAGGCATATGAATTTAAGTTATTAAAACGCAAAATTAATTTATTTTATGACTAAAAAGAAATAAGTTCAGCAGTTTTCTGCTCCGGAATGGTTGATCTTCGGACATAGGAATCACCTATTAAAGTTACGAATATTATTTCCCTCACACCGCGTTACCTAGCAACGCTGACGCGGCGGTCTGCTGCGTTGCCGAGATGTTATACCAGTTCTTTGAATTAACATGAGTATTTATTCTTTACGGCTCAATGGTTTTATTTTGAGCGTACACATTTTTTAATTGTGAATAGCGTCAAATAATCTACTTAGGAGTGATTCCGGATCGGTCCTAACAGCGCTCCATTTTAGGTCGAAGTGAAAGGTGAGAATCGCTACAAATTCTGCAACATTGCGTCATTGGTTTGTTCATTGGTTTGTTTGATAACATCGCGTTTTGTACATTCCAAGGCAAGGTTTCCACCTCCATGATAATAGTTGCGCAATTTTGGTCAGTACCGATCTCTCGCTCGTAGGGGAGTGTCGTCCTGCTACGAAATGGCTTTCACTTGCGCACATGCAGGCACTGATAATTTGTCTTGCGTAACGTTATTTGTTACATTTTCCGAACACAGCGCTGTCGAAACATGTAACAATTCAGGACGTGTTGATTTTATCACATAGCAAGTCAAAGATAATTCTAAGATGAATTAAAACACGTTCTTGGGTTCGACAGTAACCTAATCTATTGTACCAGCCTCTGCGAACATTTTCCGGTGTAACATATTGGCAACACGTCAGATTGCACGACCTTCTGCGTCACCGTTACTACGCAATGTGGTGATGTTTAAGACACACTTCTCGTGATTCTCTCTAGTACACATTGAACTCAAGCCGTCAGACAAATATAGTTTTCCCTGTATTTTTCATGAATAAGGCTCAGACACCTAGTGTTTTCTGTTGATTCTGCGCAATAATCATGAGCAGTAATCGTGCATAGTTTACAATCTAAAAATAGATATATAAGTAACAAAATAGTTGGACTGCACAGATCCTGATATGGTGATTTCAAAAACGGCAAAACTGTTTATAAAGGCACAAGTTACATTACTCTATTACCCTATTTAAATTATAACCTGTTAGTTTTTCTATTGTGTAGCATAGTAATGATTAGTGTGAATCGTAGTGATCTTTGATGTGTTTGTTTATTTGTTAGCCTGCTAAAATACTGTCACGAATGGCCTCTTGTTGCCACTGCTCAAACTCTCAAAACTTAGTACACATTAATCTACAACTACACAGTGCCTTATATATAATAACATATGAAGATATATAATAACATATGAAGATCACTTTCTATAAAAAATAAGAACTCGCGAAACATATTGAAAGATCTATATAAGGTGGGTTTATGAATAGCTTGGTAATGTAATTACCGTACACAGTAATGGAATGTAGATTGACAGATTAAATTTCTCTCTGGTAGTGCTGAAACGTCTACAATGCATTTTATATCATTTTAAATGTTAAAATTGATAACACATTAAAAGGAGTAAGCATAAAAATAACCATTCATAATTAAAAAAAACTATTTAGGACATTTTTGGACAATTTTTTTACAGTAGCCCCACAGCTGATTTAGCAGGAACCAAAAGTAATTCTGAAATAAACCGTTGTTCAGATTGCATGTTTCAGTTGCTTTACTTTAATTCAACATAATTATTGCACTCACTGAGCAACATAGTTAATTTTCAGAGCCCATTCCTGTTGAAAATGATTAAATTTATTTACCCAGCAACCAACTTTGACTGACGAAATAGCACCGAATCTTATAAATTCGGAGAACGATAAACTACACTATCGGATGGAAGGGCACGTTTACATCGAGCGCGCTTCGCTTGGAGCTGTGCGCCTCACTTCATGTCAAGCGAACCTCTATGCGTTCGGGTTCATTCATATCGGAGGCGCTTCGCTTTTCATACCTCGACTGTTATTAAAACACACTTTATATTTAAAGACGCATTTTCCAAGCATTTCACCATGGCTCCTTCACGAGTTAAGAAGATATTACTACTCGAAAGTATTGCGTTGAAAGTGAATAGAAAAAAACTAAAACGATCGTGGGTGCATGAGATTAATATATGTAGGAAATCGTTCGGAGAATTCTATCACCTCTATCGAGATGCCAGAAAATATCCAGAAAAATTTTATGAATACTTGAGGATGTCAAAGGAATCTTTCGACCTTCTCCTAAGCCATTTGGATCCTTATTTATGTGGGATTGGAACCAATTTCCGTGAAAGGATTTCAGCAGAACAACGTTTGGTTATAACATTGAGGTAAGCCAAAATAAAATTATAGTGTTTATGAAAAACTGAGTTTTATTTTATTAAAAAATACATTTGTCCGAATAAAATGTTACGCGTTATATCCTGAAAAAAACTTCGCATAGGGGTGTCCAATTCACTACCTTCAGATACATTGTGTGTGGTCGGATCCGGATGTGTTGACTGTATCGGTATGTGATGATGGTATGTATGATTGTCCGAAGCGGAACTTGAGGGAGCGGGGAAGGTAAAGACACGTGCCGGAGGTTGTCCACAAACATTTTGTGAAACTTCACTTTCATGCTCCTCAACTTGCTGAAGAAGCAGTTCCTGAAACTTTAATCTTAGACGTAATCTTCTTGAAGCAGGAAGACTCTTCATGTATGGCAAAAGACTCTTTAGGAACAAAAGATCATCATCATTTTCTTTAAGTGATTCAGACTCTAGGAGCTCAAGTTTCCGTTTTTCTAACATTATTAGTTCGCTATTGTCGTTTTCTGTTGCCAGTTGCTTCTTTCGCTTCTGCGCCCCCTTCCGAGTTTCAGAAGTAGAAGATAATCGGCTTGCAGACCTTGAAGGTGCTTGACTGCTGGTCGATGGCGGTGACAAAACATTGTCAGAATCTTGCGACTCTACGTCCTGTATATCATTATATTCTAAGTCAATATCTTCTGTGACCCTTTCCGCTTCTATATTTGCATCCCTCAGTGGGGTTTGCAGATGGTCTTTTAAAAATAACAAAAGAGAATAATATTGCCAAGGACTTGCTACAGCTTCATTTGCTCCACTGCCTGATCTGGGTTTTTCTAACTTTTTTGTTTCTCTGTTAAAGTAGTCCCTCAAGTATTTCCATTTATTTTTAACAGTTTGAACTGAAACAAAAATTGCTATTAACACCAAGCATATTTTATGTATGTTTGTTGCAGATTTCTTGCTACTGGAGAATCCTATCGATCCCTAGCTCTACACTTCAGATTGGGGGTGGCAACAGTTTCAAATATTGTAAATCATACATGCATGGTAATATGGGATACCATGAAAAGTGATTACCTACCAAAACCTACACAAGCAACGTGGCACAATAAATCACAACAATATTGGACCAAATGGAATTTTCCAAATTGCATAGGCAGTATTGACGGCAAACATATTGAAGTTAAATGTCCCTCCAATACCGGATCTCTATACTATAATTATAAGCAATATTTTTCAATATTACTTCAAGCCCTAGTTGATGCTGACTGTAAATTAATTGCGGTTGATATTGGGAGTTTTGGACGCCAAAGCGATGGAGGAAATTTTAGGTCCTCGTCGCTTTTTCGAGCATTAGACAGAAAAGAGCTTGACGTCCCACCTGATCAATGCTTACCACAAACAAATATAAAAGCCCCATTGGTTATAGTAGGCGATGAAGCTTACCCTCTGCTTCCATACCTAATGAGGCCATATCCTAGAAGAAATTTAGATAATTCAAAAAGAATTTTAATTATCGTCTCTCCAGAGCCCGGCGATGTGCTGAATGCGCATTTGGCATAATGAGTGGCAAATGGCGAATTTTACTAAAACCTATCGAAACAAAAATTGAGACAGCTATAAATATTGTAAAGGCCATTTGTATTTTGCACAATTTTGTTATAGAACAGGAGGGATTTAAGACAAATAAGGAATGTCAGACGGGCTTTAGCGGCGATATTAATCCGAGTACCTACACACACTCCCAGTATCGCTTTTCCGAAGATGCAAAGAGAACCAGAGAAATATTAACAAATTATTTTGTGACTACTGGTGCAGTTGAGTGGCAGAATCAATTTTCTTTCGTACAATAAATGTATTATATAGTATTATCTTTGAGTTTCTATTCCCTAATTATTTTGTTCTTTAACTACTCTGCCTTAAAAATTAAAACTGCTACTACCTCATACACACGATGGTTTATACAGATGACGTATCGCAAACCACTTATACATAGAATAAAAACACGAATACGCCCCTATACATGGAAACCAAAACCGATGCAAAAATACGGACAACAAAAAGAAGACATCGACACATTCTAAAAGTTGATATATTATATCCATCCCTAGTTAAAACATAATATGAACTCACCATCTTTTCCAACTTCGTCTCCTATTTCTTTCCACATTTTTTGTAACGCGTATACATTTTTATGCAACGCATGCTTCGGATTCCATATTGCCTCTCGTTTAAAAACGGCGGTGATAATTTCTTCTTCCATTGTGTTTATGCAGATAACCCTCGGAGTTGTCTGAACAAGCGAGGCAAAACGCAACGCAAAACCAACACATCGCGTTTTCCACCGCTCCGCATAGTATAACGTAAGGCACAGCGCGTAGCGCCATGCGCGCGGTCTGAACACATTCATTTAAAGCTGTGTTGTCGTTCCTCTCGCTTCCTACTGGGCTGTAAAGCAAAGCGCACAGCTCCAAGCGAAGCGCGTTTGATGTAAACGTGCACGAAGTAAGTTCCGAATAATTCAAAAAAACCAAAAAATGTTTGTAAAAAATTATTTAAGCAAATTTACAAGGGTTTCCGGTCCGATAACCTCTTAGTTCATGTCTAACATGATTATAAAAGAATAAGACAGAGATTTCGCCTCGCCTAGTCTTCTAGCATCAGTTCAAAAATGATTACTGAGCATCGCGGAAGTCGTTATTTAGTTGGTTTGTAGTGAATAATTATAGCTGACAAACAAATGCTCCACATTTTTCCCAAATTTTCTTCTGAAGCTACAAATCGCGATAAAATGTACCAATGACAATAGTAAATCAGTTATTCCTAATGCAGAAGGAATTTTGTTGACCTGTAAATTATGGCTCGAGTTGCATCGTTTTGATTAAGGAATAACTATGGATACTGGCGAAGCAACCAACCATCGCTAAAATTTGACTGTCCCAACGACTATCAACGGCTGCGGCAATGTTAGTGGAAAACAAAAAAGCTATTTTTAATGTAATTTCAGGTTTGCTCTAGGTTTCTAAACAGTCATCATTTCTATTTCTAATAGTCGACCAGACCCTTGAATGATTAAGTATTCTCTCAAACATCAGTTTCCACCCAGGTAGGTATTTCTTTCAGATAATTCTTAACAAAGAAGGGCCTTAGTATTTGTTCTCTGAAGTTATTTTCGAGTTATAAGCGATTCAAGTCGGAACAACTGGGCATTTTCAATGCTTCAATGTGCATTACCTTTGAGGTTGCCATATGTTGAGCTTGCAGTTCAATCATTCCCCTCTAGTCTAATCATATTAGACGAAAATACCCCTGGTTTGCGAAATAATGGTAAAGTCTGGTTTTGGACTCATAAACAGGGTACACCAATTTTTCTGAGAAAACTTTTTATTCAACAACAAAGAATGAGATTTAGGATTAAATTGAAAGAAACGAAAAAAACCCTTCATATAAGATTTTTAGGTATTTATGAGACCTATAAAATGTGACCACAGGTAAAAATATCCGCCTAATAGCAAAAAAGTTATTGCCGAAAACCGAGGCAAACTGCAGGTTTTGGCAATTCTTCAAATCCGTAGAATTCATCCATCTAGATAACAATAACAAAATGGAGTATATTGATCAAGTAGTTTTTTGAGAATTTATAATTGTTTATCCCAAAACACCTGCTTTCCGGCCATCAGTACTAGTTTATTGAGCAATATACGGGGTTAGTTCAAAGGACATTTTATAGCAGAAGACACTAGCTTACCTTGCCGATATGAATCGCAAGCCATTTAGGAAGATGAATGTTATTTTTATGTTCCTTCTAGACAAATTCAAACGTTTCGTATTTGTGAGTAATTCGCGACAAAAGATGATAGACACATCCGTTTTGTTTTAAAATCTCAATAGTAACGTATGTTTTTCTAAAATCGTAGCACATTCGTTCAATTACTCACAAATACGAAATGTTTGAATTTGTTTAGAAGAAAAAAGGGTCACCTTTTTTTCGCATAAAAATAACATTATTTATCTTTCGGAATGGTTTGTGATTCATATCGGCAAGGTAAACACGTGTATTTTGCTATTAAATGCTCTCTGAAGGAACCCTGTGTATTGCTCAATAAAGTAGTAGTGATGGCCCAAAAACAGGTGTTTTGGGATAAACAATTGGAAATTCTCAACAAACTACTTGATCAATATACTCCATTTTGTTATTGTTATCTAGATGGATGAATTCTACGGATTTGAATAATTTCAAGTCCGAAACCTGCATTTTGCCTGGTTTTTCGGCCATATCATTTTTGCTATTAGTCGGATCTTTTTACGTGTGGTCTCATTTTGTAAGTCTCATAAATACCTAAAAATCTTGTATGAAAATTTTCAACACTTTCGATTGAATACCAAAAAACACGTTTTCTCATTCTATGTTGTCAAATAAAAAGTTTTCCGACAAAAATTGGTCTACCCATTTCATGCGTCCATGCCTTAAATACCCCCTTGAACAACTTGCACCAATAAAACCAGACTTTAGAATTATTTCGCGGAAATTTGCTAATATGATTAGGCTACACAAGGGTATTTTAAGCTCAGTTTTTTTTAAAGCACCTTTTCGCATTGCTTGGTATGCTAACAGAAGGCGAGCTTTTGATTTTGGCAGACTGAACATATAGACGTTGACCCATGACCTTGACCAAAATTCTTCTACTGGTACTTCTAGATTTATGAAAAATACTGCTAAACCGATGGCATCAAGCATCGGCACTCGGTTTGGCATTTATACAAGTTTCTGATAGTGCTACATTACACTGTCTGTATGCCCACTGTTCTGTGTATATGAGAGACATTATCATGGTACATAGGATCTCGTACTATTGGTTTATAAGTATCTAAAAATGACGTCAAGTAGGTTGACTCTGTACTTCCCACGTAGCGCTGTCATCAGTTCTAAAAAGGATATGCTCGGTCCGTCCCAGAAAAAGAAACTAACAACGATCACCTATAACAACAATAAAAAATTAACGGATCAAGTGAGCCTTATAGATTCATATGCACAATCCACAATCCCCAGCCATTTGAGAACGCTGCGATCTAGAAATTTCTTCTCTGGCTTACCGAAAGTATCGTCCATTTGGCGACGTCAGCCACGCTATGATGGTCAGAACTAAGGGTGTCGCGGTAAGCGATTCGACGTAAGAAGCAGACAGGTTTTGTGAGCATAGGTATAAGTTCGTACCATATGCCAAGTACACCGAGTCGGCACAACATTTCTCAAGTTTTATGTGAGAATGTACAGGGGAGTGTATGATATAGTAGTTGCGTACAAATAGCGGGGTTGGAACCGTATGATTATACTACCATCCCAAAATTGATATATACCTTCCCCACCCCCTACAACCCCCAATTTTTCACTCCCAGAATTTTTGTCCCGAAAATGATCAGAAACCTCTGAAATAGCAAAAGGTTTGAGCGGTTTTTATTTTTCTTTGTCTTTTATTCCTCGCTTCGCCGCCACTCAATTTCGAAAAACTTTTCGCGATTACAAGTCGGCGTGGAAAGCAGAATGATCGATTTCATATTATCACTTCAGTGTACATATTTGTAGAGTGTGTTTAAATAAATTGGATGGATATACGCATCTATCTCCAAAGACGTCATTTCCTAACACAATTTCAACATTTCATGCCACCAGCTTATCAATAACAAATACCAATAGACTAACACCTTTATATGTTTTTCTTTTTCTAGGATATGGAAAATTTCAGACGATCCTTCTGGCCATATGCGGTACCGTCTACGCGACATGTGCTATCGGTACTACCACATTGTCATTTGTGTTACCTTCTGCAGAATGCGACTTCAATTTGACTTCGGCTGATAAGGGGAAGCTTTCAGCTGTGCCTGTGATAGGTAGGAGCACAGTAATTTGTACAATACGTTTCAAGACATTAACTTAGAAAGATTTTTAAAAACTGAAGAAGTGCATCCGAGGATTACCTCAGGGTTTGCAACTTCAGCATCCACCAAGCTACATTTTTAGAATAATGCTGGGGAAGGGGGCACTGGCAAAGCTTACTGGAAACGAAATACGGCCGCAATCATGTACTGCTTATCTACATGGCTCAAGATCTACACAGTGCTTTTCAAAAAAGTCCCCACCGCTTATTTTTCCAACCAGTGAAACTAACAATCAGAAAGTCGGAGTGAGCCCAATCTTGGAACATTCCTTTGAACGGAGCCTTATCAGTACTTTATAACCCTATAATATAAATTTGCTGCTGGCGCCGCTACTTTGACATTTTTGTCACTTTTACGCTAAAATATAATTTTCATGATTTAATTTTGTCAACCTTGCCTTCACGACGTGTGGGCTTTCCATGGTGTTTTCAAATCTGCATATCCATGGGGAACTTAATTTCAAGATGTTCAAGCAGCATTCTGCATAAACCTATTGCGATACGTTTGAATCTATTCCAATTACATTTTGAAAAAAATAAATCTCCTTTTTGCCATTACCATCAATTGAATCGTAAGGAAACTATCCCAGAATGTTCACTCTTGGCAACTTCACTTATCGCATCACAGTTACATATTCTGGAAAATTTTAATAGTGAATTGTTACAAGATTGCACTAAAATGTACGAAAGGTTGAAAAACGCTAAACCCACTGAAAAGTATTTCCCGATTTTACTACAAAGCGTTCAAAGGTATTCAAACAACAATTAGTGCATATCGCCTGGACTAATACTGTGATTTAACAAAATGATCTTTATTTTAGGTATGATATTTGGATGTCCGATATGGGGTTCCGTAGCTAACACTAAAGGAAGAAAAACGGCCATTCTGTTATCCCTTCTAATAGATTTTCTAGCAGCCGTAATTTCTTCGGTCGTGACAAATTTCGAAGTCTTCTCGATGTGTCGATTTTTTAACGGATTTGGGTAAGTCATATTTAAAGTATCCTCATTTGGACATAGCCTAATGGCATTGAGCAAAACACAAATTAATTCTGTCAAAATAACTTATGCACTTAATAACGTATGGTTTTATACGATCATTAGTTATTTCCTGGATATTAAGAAGCAATAAAAAGCTATTGGAGTTATAATAAATTGTCATTATTTACTTTGCAAGCTTAGAGACGCATGGCAGGATATGAAATTTTTTATAAAGTTTGATATGGAGTACGTGTACGCCAACCATGAACCTGTAGAGACATTCTGGTGGTCATCAGTACTACCAACGAGTTCAGACTAGATAGAAGCTGCAAGTCAAGGATATGTTTGTCTCCCAATTCTCGTAGTCTGTAAAGAGGATCACAGTGCATGATAAGTCAATTCTTTGACACTTCTGTAAATGAATTTGAATTTTTAGTGGTTGAAAATTCTGCTTTTAGACGATTTCAAGTCATGGTACCTGTTACATAATTTACAAAGAGTTGCAATAGGCTCGATTTAGGTAGATGTTTCCACCTGCAAGTATTATTATTATGTTGATACAATTTTTGGGCATTCGTAGACAAATAAGTCAACAGTTTGCACTAAAACTAAACAAAATCGGCGACAAGCAATGCTATGTAAACATATTGGCTTGGCTTCTAACCTATTCGAATTTGTTGGTACTTACCGATTCCGTCGATGTAGATCTTGTAGACGCAACCAGACAGTTTATACCCCGGCATAGAAGCGAAGAGCTCCTGCAAAGCACTCCAATGTGTTCTAGTGAAAATAATGCACCATATCGTAGATTGGACAAGTATCGAACTAGTCTGGACGTTCGATAGTATTGTGGCAGACAAATAGCTGAATTTGAGAATTATTTTCCTGTATAGAATACTCTCAGTTGAATTACGGTTACTATGGATGCGAGACTTAGTTCTGACGAGTACGTTCAAGATCCTCGTCAGAACAAGGCGGTTACGCTAAGCGCGTTGTCTGACGCCCTGGCACCCAGCAAATATGGACGTAGTTGAAAAAATCACTGAAGTTACTGTTGTTAAATGGTGGGAAAACAAAGCATGTCAATCTTTTATTTTCTAGTAGAGATGACAAAGGAGAGATTGAAAGGTTGTTATTGATAGTTTTTGTCTGTTATATCCCATATCTCAAAGTAAGCTCTTCTGGTACACAAGAGTTATCGATTTATCGATGCCCATGAGGTATCCAAGTAAATACACCAAAAAGCAGGTCGTAATGAAAAATCAAATGTATTTGAATACTCAAATGGTTCTGATCACACCGTGTATACTCTGACGTGCTGGTCGCTGCCAGTGTAGGCACGCTCATTGGAAATCAGGTGTTTGTTTATTTGGACGAATTAGTCAGAACCCTTCTGAAAAAAGTTTCTTCAGAATTCGCATCCATGGTAACTGTTCAAGGCGGCAGTAATCACGAGTATGACTTGGGAGTAGTTTTGCCCCCTGGCATAGCAGTCTCGCTTCACTGCTGACTGCTTTGTCAATGATGTCTCCGAGGTACCTGATAGAGTGTCCCCGTGGCATACGTTTCTTAGTACAATAGACTGCCTATGTTTTCGAATGGCTCATTTTGGTCTGCCACCGATCTGCCCACTCCAATACATCAAATGACCACATCCACGTGTTTACTACCCATTTCGTCTGTCTCCACGACTAGACCTAAAACCTACACCTCACTTATGAGTTCCTAATTTACACGACACGGTGCTCTCTGCGATTGGTCATTGCTACAGGAGATGGAAAGCAAACATGTCCTTTTCAAACTTCCCATGTTAAATTTTATATGAAATTCTGTGACCCGGGTATGGTACGAAGTTACATACAGTTAGACAAGTTGGACTGGCGTATCATGTAACCAGGGGTTTCAGTTCCAGCAAAAGTACTGATATATTGCTTTTAGATGTATCAAAGGCATTATGGCATGAGCCATAACAAACGCATCCAAAAGGGCTTTCCACTTTTGCTTCTAATACTGTTGAAGCTCTTTTTAGAAGACAGTGAAATTCTGTTCAAAATTAACAATACTCTGTCAACAAGACATGTGCGACCTACGACCAAACCCTTAGGGGTTTGGCCGTAGGACTAAGCCATCAACTGTGAAGTTTATGTCAAAAATATCAGTGCAGTCGCTCTTTGGTAACCTGGTTCACGACAGGCTGCAGGATGAGATGGAGAAAGTATTGTACTAAATACCGTCGCTGTGCCTCGTCAGAGATCTCAGTGAATAAGACCCGCATACCATGGGAAAACTCTACCAGGAGTCATCATTGACAAAGAGTTGACGTGGCAGAACTATACTGATACTGTAACAACGAAATTTCAAATTACTTTTCGTCGTCCTTATCCTTTGCTGTACAAGAAATCAAAAGTTAGATCAGCTCTGCGTAATAAGCGCGGCTTTGTGATTTCTCGCCAAGACGCACATGCAGAGATTGTAAGTTCTGCAAAACAGAACCCGACGTACAATTATTAACGTCCATGGTACGTGCCAAACGAGACTTTGACATCTTAAAGATATGAGGATTGCGTTAAGCAACAAGCACAGCGGCGTCATAATCAAACGGAGTCACACAGCAACCCTCTGTTGCTTGACTCGGTAGACTGCACCGTCGCGTAAATTCGCAAACACTCCAGGCCGCGCCTCGGACTGTCATCAAAATTGAATTCCTGAGTTCCTGACCAACAAACATTATTCCTTTCATAAACTCGATCGATTTCTTTTTGGAGGAACAAAATTGTTTGAGGGGTCATACAACCAATGATTAATCTTTTTGTTCTTCGACTGATTTGCTTCATTCGTTGCTCTGTTCCTTTACTATCTTCTAGAAGGGTAGCCAGGCCTGACAGGCTAATACCGGCCAGACCTACAACTAAGGTCAAAGTCCCTTTCGGTGCACTCTGACATACAATAAAATATCTTCCGTGTTGTGCCATGCGGCTTATTCTTGACAACACTAGATTTCAGACTCCTGAAGTGCTCAATGCTTTTATTAACTTGTACTGTAAATTCAATTCCTTTTCAGAATAATCGGTGCAACAAGTGTAGTATTCTCGTATTTAGGAGAATTCCTTTCTGAAGAACATCGTGACGTTTTTCTGGGAAGACTTGAAATTTTCTGGACCATAGGAATCATTATATTGCCTGGTAAGAATTGCCTGTACTCATCTACAGTCTAGCACTGATATTGGGCTAATAATTTATGTACAATGGCGCAGGTATAACCCAAACACCACATCAAGTTTGAAGAAGTATGAATGGCAACACTGAGTCGGTGCTGTCTGCCCAGTGGTATGTGCTTCTGTAAGTTTCGCGACGAATTGGGAGTACTTTTCCAACGATGCCATTTGCTGTTCTTATAATGCGTCTTATGTAATTTTAGCAATAACACAATGTATACCTAGGCATTGCTGCTCCATTAGCATGTAATATGGTTTGGTCTTATGGACATTTTATCGATTTTATTATTTACAGGTGTGGCATTTCCGTTTTTAAACAAAACAGTGATGGACTATTTTTCAACAATCGACGCTTTTAGTTCTTGGAGGATATTCGTATTAGTATGCGGGCTGCCAAGCTTGATTAGTGTTATAGCTCTCTATTTCTTGCCGGAATCTCCAAAGTTCCTCATATCGAAGGGAAAATACGATCAGGCGAGGCAAGTCTTTCAGAGGATGTACGAATGCAATACAGGCAACTCCAAGTATTCATATCCAGTAAGTATATTTTGAGAATTTTAGCAAGGCACGGCTCGATATAATTCATACTGCTAGACAAAAATATGAAAGACATCCTTAATATTTATAATTTAGGCACTCAACACTGTCAGTGATATGCAGCGATATTTTATAATCTTGATCCCTGGAAAACGCTGCAGACACACCTGATGTCATTCTGGATGTTATTCCTAAACTAAAACCGCATTATGCTGATAGAGCTTAGTATTTAGTTGCTTAGTTTAGATATGTCCCATTACCAGAAGGTGATTCCAGATGTCCTCCATCTTCCTCTGGTTAAAGTGGTTCCCAAAATATAATTTTCATGAATGCCAAAATTTGCAATACACGCCACAACATACCGTTAACACTTCACTGATACCTAAACGTTACATTTGCGTGCAGTTGGTTTACTTCTATTCAAAACCTACAGAACGCGATTCGCAATTATTAGAATGTTTTTCTCTCGAGACCCTTGGTTTTTTGTCAGCTCCATTCAGAATTATACGCCATTCTAATATTATTTACTTGCGCTCTAATGTCAAAAAAATCAAATGCACATTTTAATAACAAATTATGCTCTTCTTTCAGGTATTACGTTTAAAAGGAGAATGTGATAATAGCAATGTAGATATGAAGTTTTTAAAGAAACGACCTCTTAGCATTAGGATAGAAGAAAACATTGAAAAGCTGATGGGTCTCATCAAAGTATTATTTTCGCTCCCATACTTGAAATATCTAGCGATATCCTGTTTCGTTGATTTTGGGCTCATGGCAAGGTAAGGCATCTCTTGAGAACTTATGACCTATTAAAAAAATAAAAAAAACTTATATAAGAACGAAATGCTTGAAATGGAAAGTAAAGTAACATGGAAATCAAAGCGAAGGAAAGAAATAAATGGATAGCTGCTGTATATAGAAAAAGGGTGGCTCTGTAGTTCTCACGTCTGCGAAACAACTTCTAGTACAATTTTCTATGTAGTACAATGGCATGAAAAAGTCGTGGATTTTGTCAGAAACATTGGTGCACTATTTGGGCTTTTTATGAAAAAGGTTCCCTCGGATTACAGCAATGAGAGAGTTCATACATTCATTTCTTTGGAGCTCTGTTGTAAGACTGCCTTTTGTCAACAGTATTTTGTACCTCACCTAACCTCATTAAATTACACTACACGGATAGTCTATGTTATATGATGATATCGCGCCCATCCCGTCTGTGCAAATCGCGTCAGTGCACCGTCTGCTACCTGATTTTAAAAGTTCATTGGATCGACTAACAAAAATATTTACAACCCCGTGGCGCACGACAAATGCAATCGATAGTTATGCGATCTGCCGGCTAAAAATATGGTTGCAAGCTTTAAGGAAGAAATCTGTGATCTGTGGAATATGTCTAACAGGTGCGTAGAATTACCGGGGCTGGAAGTGTGATTAATATACTAACATCAAAAAATTGCGATACACCCTCCCCACCCGCCTGCTTACAACCTCCCACCCCCCCAATTTTTTATCTCTAAAAAATCTTCAAAAAATGGTTACTATCCTCTGAAACTTAAAAAAAAACTGAAGTTTGAGCAGTTTTTTTTCGCTGTTGGATTAGGACATAACGACGGAAATTAGTGACATTGTTTTTAATGATCTATATGTCATATTAGATCCAAGACATGCATCTCACTGTAGAAATTTTCTGCAATTATTAAATAATACTTCCTCGCCTGGGAAGTAAAAAGTAAGCAACATAACGTAATATGAGATTAATGCATATATAGTTTATACGTAGTCTCTTGTTGGATACCATGCTTTTTATGAATTGCATCACACACAATGACGTGCATCGGATTTTGTTTGGTATCCACTATAATACGTTTCTTACGAACTGTAAAGGCAATAATGGAGCTCCATGGTCTCGTTCGGTCTCAGAATATTTCGTCAAAGAAATTACGAATTCTTTTGCTTGCCAACCCAGAGGTTTCGGCATTTTAGCAGAATGCTTAAAAGGACAGCTCAAAATTTTGAAATAAACTATTTTTATAAAACAACAATGCAAATATTGCACGTCAGGAATCACATCACTATGCCTCCAGAACCATGAATATGTGGTAGTTGTTCTTGCCTTCCGTTACTGAGCGATTTTGTGACTTTCCAGAGAGGAATACTTGATTCAAGCATCCGCTCCAGAAAGTCGCTTCACTGCTCATTGCGGAGTTCATGAAGTGCATTTCTCACTTCATCGACGAGATTCGTCGCTCTACGAATGTCATCGGGATGAGACGTAACTGCTTTGTTTCAGTAAATAACTATATGTATATTATCTTTCAAGTGAAAGAATCTATAGTGAGAACTCGACTCGAGATTCGCTACGTCATACGTATTATCTTTTATATACTGGGTGTGAAAATTACAAATAAACATCGAAATAATTAATATAGCCTTACAAAAAGTTTTCCAAAAACACGACTTCATTAAGTAGAGAGAGAAAGATGACCACATTTAATGAGTTTTGGAGGAAGTTTGTGCCACAGATGTTTGTCTTGATCAGAGCTCTTATTAAGTAGCTTTGTCCGTCATCTTATGATCTCCACCTGTTTCACATGCTTTGCACTGATTTCTTTCTTTTAAGCATAGTTTGAAGTTGGAAGCGTAAATCATGGATTATGGGTTCAAATCCTATTCGTATTTTCACATTGGTTTTCCATTGAAGTACGCAAATTACTTAGTTCAATATGCTCCACAGCATTTTCAAATACCTTCATTTGGTTTCATTTGATTTCAGTTAAAAACAGTCCGATAGTTGTTATCATAACATCTAGCCAAGGATTGGTAGGTCACGAGTCCCAAATAATTACGGTCGCTAGGCGAAGCTGTCATCGCGCACACAGTGAATAGGCAAAATCAGATTCTAGCCAAATTATCATGGCAGCTTCTTATCGATGAATACTCACAAGAATAATACTACTTAGTCGCTCTAAAGTGACAAAGCCGTCAATTGTGATGGATAGCTGTAAACATCCAATTTCGAGTACCCGATTGCAAACAATACTTTTTGAGGTGGTTGTATACAAACAATATTGCAACCTTCATCCGATTGCATATTTTGCTCTTCAAATATTCAGATAGAACAAGTCACAGCTATCGGATAGGTACTTAATGCTAGAAGACAGATCCGTTTTCGGACCTCTCTGTGGACATTATTTTCATGTCTAGTCCTGTTTCATCGAAGACTCCAAAATTTGTTATACCAAAGATTCATTAAACGGTAATCTAACTACTTTTTTCAGCTATATAACGATGATAATGTGGTTCCCCGAGATCTTCGAGCGATTCAACGCCTACGAAAAATATCAGACCGACTCACCCGAATTGGGCGTATGCGTGGTATCAGCCAATAAGGATACCTCGACCAACATTTTCGAAGAGTTTCTCAAAACATTCAGAAAGTGTGACCCTAGCATCGATAATAGGGTGTTCATTGAAACTGTAATCATTGGATGCAGTTGTATCCCTACAGCTGTGTCGCTTAGTTATTTTATGAAAAAGTTGGGCAAGAATAGAGTTTTGGGTAAGTTATATTAACGAAGTATAACGTCCTAGAGCAGTTTTGAATAATTCGAAATACTCAATGTTGCTTGATATCCAATGCGTCAAGAAATGTCCGTCATACATCTTAGCGGATGTAAAAATCAAAAATCTTGAAAATTGGCTTATCCAAATTGGATACGAAACTGATATTGTGATAAATACGTACATTAAATGTACAATATTGTGTACGGCAACGTATTTCTATATACAATTGACAATGAACAACTACTTTGGTCCCAACCAAGCGGACATTATTTGATCTAGTGGAAGGCAAATGAATCCGAGAATTCAAACACTGAGAAAAGCGGGTCAGCGGTAGTGAAAATCAAAATGATGTTACTGACGGTGGTGGTATGCAGTCTGTATCTTACGAAAGATGATTTATTTTATTCCAATAACTAAATCCAGCCAGCCTGAAGATTAAGATTGGTGTGTAGTTGTTTGCGAAAAATGCGACCCAGCGTATAAACATAATAAACAGGGGGTCAAAAAGCCACCATATTATGGAAGCAAATCTCGTGAATTTCGTATTTTCTATAATTTCAGACACCTTAGGTATTATTTTTGTCACTTACGTTCCAAATGTACAGTTCAAGCGGACTTGTGTAAGTATATGCTTACAATTTTTTCTCCCGTCATCTTTTGTGAGAAGCTATCTTACTGTTTTGTCCAAAGAAAGTGTGATTACAATTTTGTAGGACTTTTTCCGTAAATATCAGTATTGAATGCAGTTCAGAATAATATCAATTACATTTCCATAAGTAAAACTGGTGTTTCAGGCAGTTGTGACCTGCTCGAAAAAGTGCTGCGTCCCCAACTAAGGGACATTTGCGTCTTCGATTGCAATTTATCATCGGCAATAGTTATGCTTAATCTGATTTCAATAACCATCATGACTGGAACAAATGCAAATTTTCAAAAGAAAAATAATATAAACCATCTTTATGCATGGAGCTGAAAATACAGACTTCAAATAAGCTCACTTTCCATTCGCCATGTTGTTTGAACAGCACCTTCTCTAGAACGTGCCTCAGTGATATAGTTATTTTCGGTGTGTATTTCGCGAGATAAGTCCATTCTGTATGAATACAAATAGGTTATTGCTGACTTTTTAATGAATGTAAGCTACCACTACCAAAGCTTGTATAATGTACCTATACCGAATTTACACTAATAATGTGTAGTTAGCTGATTTCACTCGCAATTGAAACGCGCTATAAACTTCCGCCATCAAACTAAAACAACTTCGAAAGCTGTATACGCGCCTATGGACTTTTATTGATCGATTCTTGTTACTTTTCTGCTGTTAGTTCCATGCTAGTCCGGAGCGACATTTAGTGAGCGTTGAGCTTACGTACCCGAGTGCAAGCGAGAAAACGTACTTTTCCGAGTTGTGGAGAAAATTGAATTTTCAGTACACACAATATTTTAATCCACATTCTACAAATTCATCCATAGATCGACTACAGCTTCTTATTCTTGCAGTTATAAGCTTGGTGTTGTCCGGTACAGCTACTCTACTGCTGAATTGGGTTCAAAACAGTACACAGACCATCATTCTTTCTTGTATATTCGAGGCACTTGCGAGCCTGATGGAGGCAGTGATTTTCTGCGTTGTTGTTGATTCATTTCCGACCAATGTGAGGTAGGCCCAAAGAATTTTGTAGTTTTTTACTTTACTTTCTTTACTTAGCTGCATGTACGCTTATTCTGCAGAAGAACATATCACTGTAGCTCTACAAGTAACAATATCAGGACACGTGCATTATAGTTGTAGGGACAGAAATATGTTTCCACGAATACGCGTTTTTCTAAGTGCAGTATACTTCTTAAAAACAATATAATACTTTTGAAGTCTAGTTCATGTAAATCATCATACTAAGAATTGATTTCACGTTTTTATCGATGAACATATTTTAAAACAACAGAAAACTATTCGAATAGGTAATAGGTATCTTTTTAATTTTCAGAGCGATTGCCTTGGCGATAACAGCAACATTTGGAAGGCTGGGTGCAATATTCGGCAACGTCATCTTTGGGGTTCTTATCGATGTCAACTGCGTTATTCCCATCTACGTTTTTGCAGGATTACAGATAGGTACGTATATTCTGAAGTTAGAACTCAAAATGTTATGTATCTAACGTTTCTAGAATAAATGATGTCAAGATCGCTACCATCCAAATTCAGCTTCTATTATAGAGTTGTTGAGAGAATTTGTACTATAGCCACGTCCTTTTATGCTATTGATTCGTTTCGTGGTACCTCTCATTTCCTCAGCAGTATGACATCTTAGCGTCCTTATTAGGTATTTAGTTTGGTGCCAATAAAAATATTTATCACACAATGTGATATCTTATCGACCTAACGAAATTATTAATCACAAAAATATTAAAAACTACAATAATAGGATTTTGTAAAAAAATTGTTGGGGAACAAGTGGAATTCAAACATTTTCTTCAAAGTTGTGGCTGAAAAACGCAATAAAATGCTAGTTGAATTTACATTAACTGAAAGTGTTGTATCTTATAATAATAAAAATTGCTTTCTACAACTAGTTGTTTGGATAAGGTGCAGAACAGAGAATATCGAATGATTGCGATTGCCGAGATCAATTTTTTTGATATATGATATCACTGCTATATCAAAAATTAAATAAATTGAGTATGAAATGAACTATATTTTCGTCTGCATAAGTGTGAAGATTATGCGAGTTAATGGGCCCATCCCGGCCAAATCCGGCTTGATCCGAAAATAATATTAACTAAGTAAAGCCATTGTCGTGGTTAAACTTCCTTAAGAGCCATGTACAAAATTCTACCCTTGAGGGGTCATCATCCACGCTTAAGCCACGTACTTTTTGCTGGTGGTATGGATGGAGCAGGTGCTCTTGAAAAATTATATTTACTGTGCATTTGTAAACTTGAAATTCTCGAGCTACATTCCTAACACCAACTCCAGTATTTCCAAAGACAGCATCTAAAACATTTTCTTTAACTTCAGCTGTACGTATAGTTCTGGGAGCTCCACTATGTCAGCCCATATTTTGAGCAAAACTACCTAAAATCCAAATGGCTTTGACTACTTAATATAAGGCTATAATCATTTCTTACCAGTTTATCGTAACCGCTGATCGATTCGTTGGAAAGGCTTTGAATTAGGCAGGTGTCTATTAGGGAATCAGTCAGCGTACAATCTTCGTGCTTTTAAAGCATTACATCTTGCTAACCCGTTCATTAAATGCATATCAGAATATTCATCAAACGTATACTCCATGATGTTTAACAACTTATTGCCAACTTAAAATATTTCATGAAGTTTGGCCATAAAAAAATAGCAGATTCTTGTTTCTCATACTAGAAAACCTCCCTTATGCCAAAATCTGAAATACTTCTCAAGCAAACTATCAACTGTTGGACTAAGGTATGTTTAGGTCAATTCACACATCTTGGTCTGTAGTATCTCCAGTTTCGAGATTTCTCAACCTTTCGCCATCGATGGAGAACTCCCAATTTCCTTAGCCGTTCAAGATTCTTTGCTTTAATGAATATGCTTAACACAGGGGGAAATTAATACCTAGCTAAATACTGAACTGTTTGTTACGTTTTGAGGTCAATTTGTACATCTAAACGTCTATAGATTTTAGTGAGGGTGTATACTTTAATTAATTTGATTCATTGGCATTGATTGCAAATAATATTAGTCGATAAAAATTCGGTAAAAAAAATACCCTAGGAGATTTACCTATAAACCTTAACATTTATTTAGCTCTAATCGTCATTGCCTTACGGACCTCGGTTGGCCGCGTGGGTCAGAGTGTCGTGCTACTGATCAGCCGGTCGGCCGGGCCGCGAGTTCGAATCTCGCCTTCGCCATGGATGTTGTGTGTTTGTTTTAGGCAGCAGCGGTGGCCGCAGTAGTAGACCCTTCGGTCTCCTGATCAGCCGCCGTGCGCTGTGCGGGTTCGAGTCCCGTCCCAGGAGAAATGTTTCTCTTGGCCATGGATGTTGTGATTGTCCGTAGGTGGTAGATGGTCTCTGACTGTCGAACGCGGAGGTACCACCCGGCGGTTCTCGTAGGCGGAGCCAGAATGTGTGCATGTTGCATGCACACGTGTTCCCTCGCCAGAGTCCGTGCGGCGTCCCCCCTTTCCCATGTATCCCCCATAGCCCCACGGTACCCAATGGGTGCTTAGGCCTTAGGCCTTCGTGGTAGTTGGAGTATAAAAAAAAAAAAAAAAAAAATGGAAAAAGTATAGGGCATATCTCTCCGGGTGACTAAAACCAAAATTCGTGCATTAAATATCCTGTAGTTTTCATGTTCATAATCCCCCATCCTTATCTGACCGATCAAAAGACCACATACGCTTAACATTCATCTTTAATGAACGACGTTTCGGTCATAATTAAACTTGAGGTCAGCGTTGAGACGCAAACGTCGTTCAATAAAGAGAAATTTTGAACATGTGTGATTTTTGTATTCGGCCGAACAATAGGGGACTATAATGTTCTGTATTTTTATGTATAATTTACCATAATATATTTAATTTGGTTATAAATTATATATTTATGACGAGTTAAATTTCGTACAATTACTACTGAAGTGCTTAAAGCAATATTGAAATGGAAAAAATGTATAAAATACAAGTATTGTATCTTTATCATATGAACTACGTCCCCCCAAGTCCTCTAAATTGGTAAAATACCTACTACACTATCGGTTGTGTTTAAGTAAAGAGCAAAATAATGCAACCTTTACTAGTATTAAGTTGACGTTTCTGTTTTATGTTGCAGCTAGTGGTATTCTTTGCCTGACGATGCCTCAGAAAGAGAACTACATCCCTCTACACTAAAAACTGACGCCAGTGGTGTGATTGTGATATTTAGATGATCAATATTCAAAATAGTTTAGGTAATAACTAGATTGTAAATGTATGTCATGTAACTATTTATTGTACTCGTATTCTCGACTTTCGTTCATAAATGTATTTTTTATCTGGTTTGTTGTTTTCTTTTTTTATATACTCGAACCACCACAAAATCCTAAGGCCTAAACGCCCACGGATACCATGGAGCTATAGGAGAATGCAGGGGGCGACGCCACATGGAGTCTAACGAGGGAACACGCACACATTCTGGCCCCGCCTGGGTGGTACGCCCGCGTTCAAAACATCCATAGCCAATAAAAAAATTCTCTTCGAATGGGCTTCGAACCAGCACAGCGCACGGCGACTGATTGCTAAGCCACCGCTGCTGCCTGATATATTTTATTTTAATTTTATTTATCTCACACATTACTCACCTAGTTAACTGATGGATCATAAATTGTGCGAATTTCAGACATATACGTGGTGTTCCAACGTTAGATAATTATGGAAACTTGGCATTGGGCAAAATATTTTTAAAACAGTGCAACTCAAAGTTGTTGCCGAGTAGATACCACCAGCTTATCTTAAATGGAACGTCTCATACTATTCAATTTTTAGCCAAATTCACAAGCAAATCTAATTTAGGGACTAACAATGATATGTTTTCACGTATTTGATAACTCCACCACACATCCAAACACACTATTTAAACTCGCCACTGCTACTACTATAGCTACTGATGCAAAGCTATTGTATATTGGTAATACGTCTTTATTTTGAACCCCACCCCCTTGCATGAACATATTTGGCATTGATGATAGCTGAGTCTATAAAATTTCGCACAGATACGCATTACCCTCAATATAAAATGTCAGTGAATTATTGTTATTAGAACTTTTTCCAATAGACTAACTTCCTGATGTCCATTTATATCATATTTGTATTTACTGCTTTCCCTGATCATTTCCCCCTTATATCTGCCGCCATCTCCTCCACCCTTTTTCTCCCAAACCCTACAGTCGGGTGCTCCGCAGGTATCATGTAAACAACCTATTAAACGTCAAAAAACCTATAAGATGTCAACTTGCAGACTAGGTAGTTTTTAGGGCGCAGTCGTTCCACGTTTGCTCACTAGGATCGTAGTGAACGTCTATCTATGAAGGAATCAGTCAACTAAACTACGCATTATTGGTTGCATAGTTTTGTGAGGCTGAGTGATCCGGGTCTGTAGCTTTTATCTCTGAGAAGAAAGTTGGTTGAATAGCAAGATCGCATATGGATGATTATGTGTATCGGTCTGCAGGTGTATAAAATCAGTGATATTTGCAGTGTGAGAAAATCATTACGGAATATGCTGAATATGACGGATTATTTAAATGTTGTGCTTTCTGAAGAGAGGTTATGTTCAAAGTTATAAATTACGAAAAACTTAGGAGAATTACGGGAAATCATTACCGCGCCCGCGTTGTGTGTAATTACTGTTAGCATGTATATGGCTTGTAATTGGACAGTGTACAGTGATTATAATTATTTCTTATCTCTCTCATTTTTGAAATTCAGCAAATTTGTATATGTAATTTCCAGAATGGATAAGAAAAAATGGATGAGCAACTTATTTCTAGCTTTGAATCTCAATTAAGTGTATTTGAGACAAGAACCCAATGTAATTATCATCAACACATACAACTTACAGCTTAGACCCCCAGTAATGCCATCTCAGAAGCAGATTTTACATCACATCAGAGCCAAAGATTAATAACAAGCCTCAAGACGTTTAGGCAACACGTACAACTAAGTGCTAAGTTAATATCTTGTAGAATAACCTATATATTGTCAAAAAAAAAACAGCGTAACGTCAAAAAAAATCGGCATAATGTCACTTTTCAAGTTACGTGATACCCCGCCACGTTATTGGTCTCTATACGAGGTCTGTAAATTAAATGATGGCAACGTAGCGTTCAATCTGGCAACACCGGAGGCACGGGCTTGGAGAGGAGATGGGGAAGCACGTGATCCACCTTCAGTACAAGTTTGTGGCTATGGCGCCTCAGCCTCCTTAATCGCCTGACTTGAGTCCTTGTGACTTTTTTCTCTTCCTGAAGTTGAAAAATCACCTCAAGGAACTCATTTTTTTGAAAAGATTCAAACGACTGTAAGCGACCAGCTGAAGGATATTCAAGTGTCGGAGTTCCAGCACTGCAATGAGGTGTGGAAGGACCATCTCCAGCGCTGTGTGGCTTCAGAAACAAGTTATTTTTAGGCTGACAATATAAAATTGTAATTATATTTTAATAAAAAAAGTTAAAAAAAATCGGTCTCACTACTTAACTTACAGACCTCGTAGTCGTTTAATATTATCCTGCATAAACATAACTTGTTCTCAAAGTCTCGTACTCATTCTAAAAGACAGTTAGTTTTTCTCCTATCTACCCTACTACTTTTCCTTTCCATTCGCCCACCTTTCTGCTGTGGCAATTATACGATATTATCGAAGGGTCATTTTCTTTAGAATTAGTCGTACACACAAAAGGGAATTCCGGGGAATTCACAGGAATTACAATGAATTAAGGGGAATTATTGGGAATTACAGGGAATTATAGGGAATTGCGAGAGGAATTCTAGGCATTTTTCGCATCTCCAAAGTAAAAACTGCTTATATGCTTGTTTCTCAGTACTGGTACCTTCTGAAGGACACATTTATGTCTACACCTAGTAAATTTGGCACCGTTACATGACCTTGCTCAAGTTCCTAATTGTGCCGCCTTGCATGAAGTCGATCGTCCATGTTCAACTAGTTTGTTCTTATAGTGTAACAAGTGTATAGAAATATGTCAAAGCACGGGTGTAGAGGCACGGGTATTACGTATCTTGAAAAGTGACGTTATATCGATTTTTTTGACATTATACTGTTTTTTTGACATTTTGTAGGTTTTTCGAAAAGATGTTAATTTAGCACTAGCTGATGGATACTTTTGTAACCTCGTTTTGTAGTTGTACGTGTTGCCTAAACGTCAGGGTTCCGTTATCAATGTTTGGCTATGATGTGATGAAAAATCTGCTTCAGAGATGGCAGTACTGGAGGCAACGGCATAGTAAGGATTCGGGTCCTAATAAAATATGTGATGATGATAATTCTATTGGATTCTTGTCTCAAATACACTTACTTGCGATTTAAAGATAGAAATTAGTTGCGCATCTGCTTTTTCTTATCCATTCCGGAAATTAGATACATATGGAAATTTGCTGAATTTCACAAATGAGAGGGATAAGAAATAATTATATTCACTTTACGCGGTATTGATTTCCCGTAATTCACCTCAAAGTTTTCGAAAACACAAAAAAACGTAAACAATCGTAATTGATAACTTTGAACTTAACTTATCTTCCGAAAGGACAACATATAAATAACCCGTCGGGCACAGCTAATAGATATACTTCATTGGCAGCATATTCAGTAATGATTTTCTCACACAGCTGACACACTGATTTTATACACGTGCAGACCAATACACACAATCATCCAGATCCGATCTTGCCTTTCAACCAACTTTCTTCTCAGAGATGAAAACTATAGGCTACCAACATGGTTGAACCATTCCTTCAAACATGGATGCTCATAACGCACAACTAGTGAGCAAACGTGGAGTGACTGCTTGCACCCTAAAAACTACCTAGTCTGCAAGATGCCATCTTATAGATTTTTTTTGACGTTTTGTAGTTTTTTTACATAATACCCGTGTCGGTATCCAGCTATAAAATGACCCCTCCTAACTTGATTAATTAACTTTTAGAAGGTAAAGATGTATATATGAAAGTAATAGGGTCTTCTTCATGTAGCATTTTTTGTATACCGGGTGTCTCAGAAAAGTGCCATCCAATAAAGATGTATTTTTTAAATGGAACACCCTGTATATTTTCAGTGAAAATGATGGTCCCTTTTTTCTGATTCCAAATATATATTTTATTAAACTTACTTGTATTACTTTGGTCAGAGACTTGAAGTTTGTGTGGCATTTAACCATACCTATACGGCTCTGGTATAGGGTATAGCATAGGCGACTAGAGGCAACTCGGTTACGCAAGTGACATAAAAACATTAAATTAAGCCTTTGGCCAAACTAATGAAAATAATTATGATAAACCATGTATATTTTGAATCAGAATAAATGGACTATCGTTTTCCCTCAAGATATATAAGGTATTCAATTTAAAAAAAATACAACTTCGATAGCACTGTTCTGTATACAAAGAAATATTACATATGATAAGCTTCATATTAGACCCTCTAACTTTTGTATACAACGTTATCTTCTATAAGGTCATATAAAAAAGTTAGAGGGGAAGCCAATTCATATCCCGCAACAACGTTTTAACGCACTACACCAAAAGAATATGGCGTTGCGAATGTCCGCATGTATGTACATATACTCTGTGATGATTTTTTCTTCACTGAAATGACTGCAAGGACAAACCTTGAAATATTAGTATATCACTATACTGAATACTCCCCCTTGCCTATATGTCTTGAAGACGCATCTGTGGTATCTGCGGTCTTGGCTACACTGCTTGCGTCTCCTTTACTCCATTTGTGACATTTCTTGCATGATGAGCACCTCACGGGTCTTATGTAAAAAACCTACAAAATTTCATCTTGCAGACTAGTTTTTAGGGTGCATACAGTCATTACACGTTTGCTCACTAGGTTCCTTGTGAACGTCCGTCTATGGAGCAATTACTCCATAACAGGCCTTGCTGGTGGCATATGTTTTGTGAAGCCGAGTAGTCTGGAATTTTCATCTCTGAGTAAGCAATGATGTATATCTATTAGCTGTGCCTGACGGGTTGTTTATATGTTGTCCTGTTTGAAGACAGGTCATGTTCAAAGTTATAAATTACGATTTTTTTAGTTTTTTGTGTTTTCAAAAACTTTAAGGAGAATTTATTTACTTATTTATTTATTTACTAGTATATACACTATCCGAACGGTTTATTACACCATTTAACGGATAGGAATACAGGAATCAATTTTATTGAAATTGTTCAAAAATAACTTAAAATTGCCAAATGACTTAACCTACTGTTATCTAAAATCTTTTTAAGCTACGCAAATTACAAAAGAACAAATCTACAGC